ACAACTGCCAAGATATGGAAGCAACCTAAGTGTCCATCAATTGATGAATGACTAAAGAAGATGTGGTATATATATATATACAATGGAATTCTACTCAGCCATAAAAAAAGAACAAAATTTTGCCATGTGCAGCAACATGAATGGAGTTGGAGGGCATTATGCTAAGTGAAATTAGTCAGACAGAGAAAGACAAACACTGTATGATATCACCACGTGGAATCTAAAAAATAAAACAAATTAGTGAATATAGGGGGAAAGGTATAGCTCAACAGGTAGAGCACAAGCTCAATACCCCAGAGGTCCCGGGTTCATTGGTACCCGGGTACCAATCCCCGGTACCTCCTCCAAGCTGAAATCAATGAAGAAATCTAGTTACGCCCCACTCAAGAAACAAACAATATCAGCACAAATGAGTGAATATAACAGAAAAGAAGCAGACTCACAAATACAGAGAACAGTGAGTGGGGGGGGTGAAATATAGTGGTTGGGGAGTCAGAGGTACAAACTATTGGGTATAAGGGGGGTGAAATATAGTGGTTGGGGAGTCAGAGGTACTAACTATTGGGTATAAGATAGGCTCAAGGATGTACTGTACAACATGGAAAAGACAGCCAAATTTTGTAATAACTGTAAATGGAAAGTAACCTTAAAAATTGTATAAAAATTTTAAAAATTTAAAAATAACAAAAAATTGTCCTTTATATGTATCCACATATTTACCATGTAGAATGTTCTTCACTTCTTTGTGTAAATCCAAATTTCCGTAGCATATTTTCTTCTGCCTGAATAACTACCTTTAACTTTATAGCGTGTATCTGCTGGTGATGAATTCTATCAGCTTTTCTTGGTCTGAAAAACTAGTTCACTCTTGAGAGATATTTTCACTAGGTATGATTTCTAGGTTAATGGGTTTATTTTCAGCACTTCAAGATGCTGTTCCACTGTCTCTGGTATATAGGTTTTCTGATCACTCTTCTCTCTGTTATTTTGTACATGATGTACCTTTTTTCCTTTAGTGCTTTTCAGATTTTCTTTTTATCATTGTTTTTCAGTAAGTTGATTATGATGCATTTTGGTGTGGTTTTCTTAATGTTTCTTCTGTTTGCAGATTATTGTTGGGTTTGTGGTTTAATTTTTTTTTCATCAAATTTGGAAGTTTTTTGGATTTATTTGTTCAAATATTTTTTCTGTGTCTGCCCTCCTGCCCTTTCTCTTTCTGGAATTCCAATTATATGTTTGTTAGACTGCCCAATACATCCTATAGCTCAACAAGGCACTCTTCAACTTTCTTTCTTCTCTCTGGGCTTAGTTCTGGATAGTTTCTATTGATATGTCTTCAAGTTCACTGTTTCTTCTGCAGTGTCTAATCCACTACTAATCCCACCTAGTATAATTTTGGGGGGAGATATTTTTCATCTTTAGAAGCTTCATTTGGGTCTTTTAGAATAAAAATATCTTCTATTTTTCTCCTCATCATTTCCTTTGTGTCCTCAAGCATATTTAAAAGATTTATAATAGCTGTTTTAAGGTCCTTTTATAATAGTTCCATCACCACTGTCATTTCTGGATTTTTCTATCATTTGGGTTGGTTTTTTCCCCCAGGTTACTGGTCATATTATTCTGCTTTTGTATACCTTATCATTCTTCATTGAATGCAGAGCTTTGTAATTTTGATGTTTCAGAGCACTGGATTTTCTTGTAGTCTTTTAACACATTGATTGCTGATTGTGGATCAGGTGCCCCTGAGGAAGCACAATCATCCCCCATATTTGTGGATGTGGTGATCAACATGTTAAAGAGTGTTTGGTTTTAGTCTGGTGTGTAACTAAGCAACTTGTAGATCAGTCTGAGCCTTCTGAGCTTGCTTTGCACTCTTTATGGTGGCTCCAGAGCAGCCTTTATTCTGGGACTACATTAGTCCCACTACTAAAGGTGTGACTTTTGGATTCTACCCAGTGTTTCTCCACTGTGGCTGATGGGAATAGAAGCTGTGAGTTCAGTATATCATTCAGTTGATTGCCTTGAGGACAACTTCGTCTCATGCATGTGCAGATCTGTACATAATCAAAAAACAGGTGATTTCTCTGCAGATCTCTGGTGTTCTCTCTGTGCAGCTCTGACTTCTTCAGTACATTGCCTCACTCTTCTTAGATTCTGATCTCTGCCTAAACTCAGTGAAACAGCCAAACTCTATGTTAGTTGTCTTTCCTTGTGCTAAAAACTAGAAACTGCCTCCAGGGAGTTAACTGGGACAATGATATGATTCACCTTGTTTCTTTCCATTTCTTAGGGTTCACAGACTCATGCTACCTGTTATCCAATATCTGAAACTGTGGTTTCACATATTTTGTCTGGTTTTCTAGTTGTTTATGGCAGGAGGGCAATTTGCATAAAAGCTCATCTTTCACAGGCAAAAATGAAAGATCTAATAACTACATAACATGTAGTACCTAGTGGATGTCAGGCCCTGTGCTAACCATTTTACATATATCTCATTTAATCCCACAACAATGTCGTGACAGAAGTACTCACATTATCTTTGCTTTATAGACAATGAAACTGAGGGTCTGAGGGCTTAAGAAACTAGCCCAAGTTACCATAGATAGTATAATAAGATATAGAAGTAGGATTCAGATCCCAGTAGCCTAAGCTCTAAATCACTATATTACAATGGTTACACTGTATCTCAGAAGAGGGAAGAATGAGGAAGTCAAGGCGCAAGGAGGAGTCTTGGCATGTAATATAATACAGTAAGAACAAAGTGAAACAAAGGATTTGAATAGACATTTCTCCAAAGAAGGTAAACATAGGGCCAATAAGCACATGAAAAGATGCTCAACATCATTAGTCATCTTGGAAATGCAAATCAAAACCACACAACGCCATACTACTTCAATAGCCAGTTTGATGACTATAATCAAAAAGACAGCTAATAACAAGCGCTGGCAAGGATGCAGAAAAAGTGGAATCCTCATACATCACTGGTGGGATTATAAAATGGTGCAGCTACTTTGGAGTACAGTTTGATGGTGCCTGAAAGGGTTAAACACAGAACTGCCACGTGCCCCATCAATTCTACTACTAGGTATTACCTCAAAAAACTGAAAACATATGTTCACACAAAAACTTGTACACAAATGTTCCTAGTGGTACTATTCATAATGGCCCAAAGTAGAAACAACCCAAATGTCCATCAACTGATGAATGGATAAAAAAAAAATGTAGTATATCCATAGAATGGAATATTATTTGGCAATACAAAGGAATGAATTATGTGTTATAACACGGATGAAACTTTAAAATAGTATGCTAAGTGAAAAAGGCCAGTCACAGAAGGCCAAATATCATATGATTCCATTTATACAACACATACAAAATAGGCAAATCTATAGAGACAGTAAGTAGATTAGTGGTTACCGAAGCCTAAGGAAAGGCAGGGATGGGGAGTGAGGTTTGTTTTTGTAGTAATGAAAATGAAATTACATAGTGATGATGACTATGTAACCTTGAGAATATACTAAAAACCTTTAAACTGTACACTTTAAAGGGGTGAGTTTCACGGCATATGAATTACATCTCACTAAATATGTTAGCAAAAAAACAAAGCAAGACAAGATGAAGAATAATCCTTCATGGCTTGTTTTAGTCTTCCTAGTTAGGCTGGAGTATTGGAACATGTGACAAAATATAAATGAAGCTCAATAGCTAAAGAAGGGGCACAAACCCATTTCTGCTTCAATTTCCAAGTCCCACACCTCCACTGAGAGTTTACCTTCAGAAATACACAGGACAATATTTGCTCACCACTGCGTGGTCGGCTTTTCCTGAGCCTGTAACAGTCAAGGCAGACCCCAAATCCACATTTGCGACAAACCCAATGGATGTTGAACAGAGTTGTTTCACATACATCACACATCTCCCGTACACCACGCACTGCTCGCTTCCATGCCACTTTCTCTGGTGGAAAAAGGAAGAGGAATATGTTGGCACTGGCCACCCTGAATAATAGCAAAAGATCCCAGATCCACTGATTCTTACTTAAGCATTTTGTCCAGCAATAAAACTCAAAGATTCATGAGGTTTGTTTTTCTGTAATTTTAAGAGATACAAAATACAGGGAATTTCTAATATTTCTGAACAAGTGACTATGAGCATGAATGCCACATGCTGTCACTGAAGATACCATAAAATTTTCAATTTCGGGGAGTTTGGAATAAGAGGATTCTTAAAATACAGGGCATAATTTCATAGTATAATATTCCTTGGTCTAGAAATAGGGTACAGTATCTCACAAAAATGAAAATATCAAAAATGTCTGAATATCGTGGGTGCTAGGTGTGAAACACGGCAATCAGTAGCACTTCATCTATTCACAAATCATAAAGTATAGCTTACTAATAAAAATTAGTTCAAAGCAAACTGAAAATATTCTGTAAATCAAACCCAAATAGGGATCAAAATATAAATTATGACAACTATGCTACAAAAATGAGAGGCAATCAAGGAAGGAATTTTTAGTCTGTCAACTGCCAAAGACTAAAAGAATGAGGACGGCTGGATATAGGTATGGCTTCAGCCACTTAGTTTGCTACAAAAAGAAGTCTTATCAGTCTTAATTTATCCATAGAAAATGCCATCTGCCACTCCTTCCACACCTCCCTTTAAGCAAAAGAAAATGAGTTTCCAACGAGAGTTGCCTAGAAGATGAGTAAGAGGGTGCCTTACGGTGTGGCTCCACCATCATCATGGCCTCCTTCTCCGACATCACAAGCTGGCAGAACTGGTCCCCAACATTGGCCAGAATGTATTTTGAGGTTTCTAGGTCTATTCCTTCTGCTAAGGAGGAAGAGGGAATCCACAGGTTCATGGCATCAGGGTCACTTTGCTGGGGACTTAGAAACCCCTCCACACGGAGTACCCCCTTTCGAGTGAAGATCAACCTGAGACAGGAAGGTACACAGTCAAATACATGGTAAACAATAGCCATGCAAACCAACACACACTTAAAATCCTAGGACCTAAAAGATATTAAAAGACACTTAACAGGAATCAGGTTAAGAATTTTTGCCATATTTGACCAACACAGTATGCACTGTCTGCACTAACAGGAAGGCTTGTTAACAACTAGTAGGTCTGGGTTCTCTAAAAAGCTATCCCCAGAAATGCCTATCAGTTTCTCCAACCACTTGTTCGACACCAGCACCCACACCACTGAACATGACCAGAGGAAAAATACAGAGCTGTGCTTAGTGTTACACTTGAATTTCATATCTATTTATGTCAGGTGAGCCCTTGATATTGCCTGGCAGTCACAACAGTCTCCTGGTGTGCTTCCTCTCCTAGATGCCTATTTAATATCTTCTCCTTTCTTTTCAAACCTCCAATTATTTTCCCCATGAGGACCTTGCTAGGTATTCCACTGAGAGCCAGAAGAGAATTCCAACAAGCTCCCACCACCACACTACCATGCCTTCCTGCAACTGTACTCCATCTTATTTTCTGCTACTATGAATGAACTAGGTCCTAGTGAAGACCAATCTCTCCACCTATGCTCCACATCCTATCCTCTTGCACAGGCATCTCTCCACTAGTTTTCTCTTCTACCTCATCTATTTTCCTCTCTTCCAAATTATTCCCAGTGGTTCAACTTGCTGTCTCAAAAATCCTCTTAATCCCACCCACACCTACCTCCATCTATCTGTGTTTAAGAAGAAAAGTTTCTTAAGAGTTGTCTGTACTGACAGTCACCAGTTCTTTTCCATTTTATTTTCTCTTAATCCACACCAATCAGCCTTTCCTCCACCAATCTACCAAAACTGTTTCTGACAAGGCCACTCCCCCTAGTGAAATCCAGTGGTCATTTTCAGTCCTTATCTGACTCAATCCAACTGCAGCATTTGCTACAGTTCATTATTCCTCGCTGGGAACACTTTCTTCAGTTGTCTTCCAGGATACCTCACTGGGTGCTCTTTCTCAGCCTCCTTTACTAGTTCCTCCTCATCTTTCCCATCTCTAAATGCTGGAGAGCTTCCGAACTCAGTTCTTGGACCGCTTCTCTTCTTTACCTAGACTCTGACTCCTCAAGTGATCTCAATTAGACTCAGAGCTTCAAATAACTAGTGACATCTACATTTTTATCACCAGCCTGGACTCCTTCCTTCAATTCTAGAGCTGCCCTTTCAACATCTCTATTAGGAAATATAATAGGCGTCTCTAATTTTACACGCCTATATTAAAATTCCCCATTTTTTTTCCTCCCCAAACCTGCATTTCCCTGAGAAATCTCCTTACCAGTAAATGGCAATTCCATTCTCTCAGGTTTTAGGCCAGAAGCCATAGAATCATCTTTGATTCCTTTTCTTTCATACCTCTCATCTAATCCATCAGAAAATCAAGTAACCCTAACTTCAAAATATACCCTTCAACCACTTCTTATCACCTCTATCAACACCTCCCTATACTAAAGCCACCATATTTTCTCACCTGGATAATGCCAACAGTCTACTAATTTCTCCTTGCTTTTGCTTCAATATAATCTACTCTCAAGAAGGTAATCACAGTGATCCTTAGAACACTTACCAGTGTCACTCATCAGCTCAAAACTGCCAGTGACTGCTTGCTTATTCAGCATAAATGTCAAGGCTCTTAAGAGTAGCCCTTTAAAATCTTGATCCACCAGTAACTCTTTGAACACAATTCTTTTCCTCTCCGTTTGCTTAGTCTCTTTTACCCACCCTAGCTCCATGAACACACCAGCAATATTCCAGACTCAGAACAGTTGCTCTTGCTGTATCCTCTATCTGGAATACTTGTCTCCCAGAAAAATGCATGGCTCACTCCCTTAACTCCTTCAGTTCCTTACTCAAATCTCACTTTCTCAAATCATTCTATTTAAACTATAGTCTCTCTAGCCTCCCCACACTTCAATTCTCTTCCTCTTCCTTATTTTTCTCTTAGTTATTATCAACTGACATGCCATATATTGACTTTTTTTTTCTTATTTACTATCTGCATCCCCAACAAACCTCCTAAGGGCTAGAATTTGATGGCTTTGTGTACTGCTTAATCCTCAATGCTCACAACAATGGCTGGCACACACTAAGAGCTCAATAAACATCTGCTGAATAAATGAATCCACACTACATGGATAAACCACTTGGATTTCTTTATTTAAAAAATTGAAAACTCTTGAAAGATTGTTTAGAAGAAATTCCTTTTCTAAGCTGATCAAGCAGAATAAAAGTAACTAAACAGCTGCTGTTTGTTAAAAAGCAAAGGATATTTCTAGGATTTTCACCACTTATCTCTATTTCAAAGTCACTTCACATTATCTCCTAATCTTACTTCCCCTTCTCTCTAGGGAACTCAAGTTACTCTAGCACTGAAGAGGAGTAAGTGGTCGGGTACATCCATAATAGAGAGTGGTGTCCTTCTGCTCACATCGCTGGTTTCAAATGGAACCCAAGTTAGGAATAACTCAGTGCAGCTCGGGGGTAGTAGTTGAGACTGCTCAATCTCAATTCTCTAAGGACAAAGTCACATATCATTTCACAATCCAAACAACTAAGTAGATACTCATGGCAGAGTCTTAGCACAGACTCTTGAGAGCAGTGGAGTTAAGGAAAATAAGTAAAAGATGGTGAGAGATGTTCACTGATTCAGAGGAAGAGTGGGAATTAGACATCACTAATAAAACTGGAAAGGAGAAAAAGAGAGGAGTTTGGTTACCTCCGGAAGTGAAAGAAGCGGCAGGCTACAGTGGAATCATCTTGCTCCTGTTCTTTAAACTTCCGATACCGCTCCAGGCGGCACTCACGACACTTGTGCAGGTGAGGGGCTACATTGATGCAAGACCCATCCTGCAGGAAGGGCTCTCCGGACTGCTTCAGCTTCTTCACTTTGCTCACATCTTTCAGCACTGACTGGCCAACTGTGTGCAAGGGAGGGAGAGAAATGGTTGGTTATGAAAGGTATAAATGAGACTCAATAGCATAATCCTCTTGCAGACAGATACTTATCCTGACCTAAGTCACTTTTCCTTGCACTGTATGGGCATGTGCCCACCAGGTCCATCCCTGACAGAAAGGGAGTAGAGGGAACAAATTGGCTTCAACTAGGAGCTAAGGACCATGGAGGATTTGTGGTAAGTACCCACATGATAACAAAACAACTCTGGGCATGGGTAAGAAAACCCCAAAATGGCAGAAGGTAGCCACTTGCCACCAGCCCCTCTAGGGGCTCCAATGGGATACCAAATCCTAACAAGAATAGCGACTCTTACCATCAGATTCTTAGACACTTGCCCTTACACAACTTGGGACAATAACCTCACACCACAGGACTTAATGACTTTTGGAAGAGATGTAAAAACCTTATATATGTGAGGTATATATATGAGGGGTGGTTCTCTTTGCTTCATCAAGTCTATGAAAGGCCTCTATGTGAGAATGAAGACTAGTAGTGAGTAACCCCCCTAAAGTAAATTAAAGAAGAAGGGCCGAAGGGAAGAGAAATACATAAAGAAAGAGTTCATGACCTTAAATAACAGACTATCAAGGAAGATCAAGGATCTTCCTTTCTGGGATTATCTTTATACAGGAGAGAGGCCCCTCTTATAGTGCTGGTTTAGATCAATCCTGTCTCAAACTGGGTCTGATAAGAGACCACTACTGGGCCCTTCTAGCTATGGAATTCTATGAGATTATAGAACTTTCCATCAAAGAGAGGGCCTCTACTGTCCAAGAGCACAACAGGCATGAGAGGCTAGTGCCAGAGTCAAGCCCATGTATAACCCCAGCAGGATCACCTTTCAGGGGGGCAGTCCGAGGCCGGCCCTTGGGGGCCTGCTTTCCTTTGCCTTTGCCCAGCAACAGCTCAGCACTGCGCTCCCCATTGGGGCCCAGCTTCCCCATCAGGTGCTCTGGAATCCCCTTCAGGCCAGTCTTGGCTTGCAGCTGCTCCTCCGAGTCGCTCAAATCTGACAGGTCACTATTGGTACTGGAGTCGGAGTCCTGTCTGCAAGCCAAGCTTCGTTCATCCAGTGAGAACCTTTTCACAGCTTCAAAAGGGGCTTTGTTCTCCTGTGAAAAATCTGCTGGGGAGGACAGAAAGCTGCCTGAGTGCCTGCCAAAGACGTTACTAAAGGTTTTGAGGAGAGGATTGTCCTGCTGCCCAGGCCCCACAGTTGGCCTCTCCTCTGTGGGGCTGGAGGAGAGAGTAGGCATCTCAATGGGCTGGGTGAGGCTGCTGGTGGGTGAACTGGAGCGGCCATTTCCCATGGCAGAGAGGCTCGGTCCCCCAGTGGTAAGAGCTGAGCCCAGAACACCAGACACCAGTTTGGAGGAGTCAGTTGTGATAAAGAGGGTTTTCTTCTTTGCTAAACATGCCGAATCTGTAGAGGAGTGAGACTCGGGCCAGCTGGGTGCTGCCTTGGAGGTGACAGTGGTAGCAGAGGAAGAGCTACCTGATGCCTGAGATGCAAAGCTGCTGAAAGGACTATGTTCAACTTTCTCCACAAATGCCAAGAAAGGGTTAGAAGGCTCTTCTCGGGACAGTTTAGGGGGCTGTAAAAATAGATTTTCATGACTGTCTGGGGTGCGGGCATTTAGGAGGCTCCGTGGGAAGGCCGGTGTGAGGGTGGGCATGGACTCTGCAGGCACTTTCCGGTCCACAGAGCTGCCAACCTTAGAGCCTGATTTAGTGTCTGCTCCAAGAGCAGATCTTCCTTTACATAGGCTCTCAAGGCTTTGTTTGAATGAGTCTCGACTGGAGGAATCATCAGCCAAACCCTCTGAAACGGTAGTGAAGTAGTTACTGGTGGGTAAAGTTTGGGACATGCATTGAAAAAACAAGTTTTTTGAGACATCAGAGTCTTTCTGAGACTCTGGTGCAGAGCTACAGCCAAAAGAGAAGCCCAAAGGTTTGTTCTCTGTGGCTAGAACTCCATTGGATTGGCTCCTTCCACTTCCAAAAGTCAAAGTTTGTGATGAACTCAGGAGAGATGCTCCAAATCCAGAAGAGGCCAGAACAGAATTTCTTGAATTCTGAAAAGAAGATAGTCTGAGTTAGTGATGCTGGCTTCTGCTGACAACCTTATGACATCCTTCTTGGACCTAGGCCAACATTTATTGTGGGTCAATCAACTTTTCTCTCCTATAATTCAAGGAAAACTGCTCTTTTAACTATTATTTCATGTATGAGGGAAGAAAACTGACCAAACAGAGGGAATCTTTAGCAAGATGAGCTAGAGATGGCAGGATGAATGACATATTACCACTCCCTTGGTTGTTAGCCAGTTGGTTGTGAGAGCACTAGGAGGCTGTGTAGGCTTCTAAGTATCTATTTAGAAATGAAGACTTTGCCAGAATCTGCAGAAAAGAGTTCCTGAACAGACATTAGCTTTTACTTTGAAATAGTGAAGTATCACTAGTTACTAATCTACCTCAGTGACTTGAGGGGCTATGGATTAAGTTTTGATTTATTTAAGCCACTGCAAATTGTCCATCTTACAGAAGTGACTTCAACTCCAAGACAAGCCTACTGTACATTAAGGAAAAGTATTTTCTTTATCAGTCTGAAACTCGCCAAGTTGGACCCTTTCGGAATTTGGCCATCTACTTATAGGTCCAAATCAACCTAAAAGTTAAGTTATCTGTTTCAATTAATGTTAGACCTAAAGGTGCTAAGTTAAAGAAGGTACACTGGTTACTGAACTCTTTTCTTATCATTAGGAATCTAACAAGTCTCCAAAGTGCAAAAGAGTAGATACTGATATACCCACCAAACAAAAGCATTCAGCATAACAAATTGGAGAATGAAAAAACTTTCTTCTTTTAACCTTAAAAATGTTAACTTCAGCATTTGAATAAAGGATGTGTACGTAAAGAAGGGTAGGATCACTTTCATATGGTATATCACATACCCCTATATGTATACAGAGAAACATCCATAGGTAGGTACAAGCCCTTATGTGATACTTACAACCACTTTAAAATATTGGAAATAAAAATTATGCCAAGACTGCTTAAGATGGATATGGAGTTTCTTTTCGGGGTGATGAAAATTTCTGTAACTAGATAGTGGTGATGGTTGCACAAAACTGTGGATATATAGTATAAATGCCATAGTACTGTAACTTCAAATGTTTAAAATGGTAAATTTTATGTTATGCGTTACTTTACAATTTAAAAAAATTTATGCCAAATAAATGAAAGGGCTATTGTTAAAAAAAAGGGGGGGACGGGAGTTTCAGTTTATCTAAGGCATTTTATTTATTTATTTATTTATTTATTTATTTATTTATTTATTTATTTATTATTGAAGTACCATCAGTCACAATGTGTCCATTTCTGGTGTACAGCACAATGTCCCAGTCATGCATATACATACACATATTCATTTTCATATCTTTTTCATTAAAGGTTATTACAAGATATTGAACATAGTTCCCTGTGCTATACAGCAGAAACTTTTTTAGAAAATCTATTTTTTTGTTGTTGTTGTTATCAATCGTAGGCAACTCTTTTTTAAAATTTTTATTCTTCTATTTTTTTTAATTTAAAAAATTCAAAAAAAATTTTTATTGAACTACAGTCAATTACAGTGTGTCAATTCCTGGTGTACAGCATGTCCCAGTCTTGCATATACATACATATATTCATTTTCATATTTTTTTCCATTAAAGGTTATTACAAGATAGTGAGCATAGTTCCCTGTGCTATACAAAAGAAACTATTTTTTAAAATCTGTTTTTATATATAGTGGCTAACATTTGTAAATCTCAAACTCCCAAATTTATCCCTTCCCACCTCCTTTCCCCATTAATAATAAGATTGTTTACTACATCTGTGAATCCGTTTCTGTTTTGTAGATGAGTTCATAGTGACTTTAAGGTATTCTTTAAATATGCAAGAGGAATCTACATTTATGACTTTCTCAGAGGGTGGCAAAGAGGTAGAAGAACCAGGCAGGCCACCTATGGCTAGTCTCCAGCTGACATTTGCTCCAGAGACTGCTTCAGGGCATTTAACAGACAAAAACTTAGTTCATTATTCTTTCTTCCTTTCCTTCCCACTAACCAGCAACCATTGACTTAAACCTCCTTCAAATAAAAAAGAGGACAGACAGCTATAGCACTGAGGTTCTGCTGTTGTTTCACTGGCAGGATTTGGCCAGGAGCCTTGACACCTGTATGACTGCAAAGAATGAGCATAAGGATCTCAGGTTTCACTACTAAAGTTACTCTTTAAAAATAAATACGCACATGAATGAAAAATAATTTGGATGTTCTTTCATTTTCTTTCAAACAATAAAATTCCAAATCCTTTCCTTATAAAAAAGTGATGACAAACTGATTTCAACCTAATATTTAGGGTAAGGGTTTCCTGGAGAATCTGTCCCTATTTCAGGTTTTACATCATAATGGAAACATCCACTTCTGCACTTTTCAATCATATTCCAAGAGAATATCAAGGCTCACACATTAGCAAAGTAACTAAACTTTTCAAACCCATTTGGAAAAATGCCCTTTGAATCCACATTTCATCTATCTAGCTTTGCTACTCCAAGAACAACAGCATTTGGGGGAATCTCTTCTTACAGCATGTAATATTTGGTCTATTTTATAATCCCCATTTACAAACACATTGCCTTTGACATGGATTTGATTTTAACTGATTGGGGCAATATAATGACTTACACATAGTGAAGACCTAGTTGACTTGGGAATGCTGGTAAACTAACAGAGAACAAACCATGAAGAGCATGAAATTTGCATTTACAAGCCTTCTCCTCTTTTGCCTCCTTTCCCATCCCTGCACACTAGAGATTAATAAACTGCATTTTCTAGAGAATGGAAGAAGTCAGATGAAATGTGTATGCCACGTTTTATCCAGCACTGTTATACTTAAAATGATTCCATTTTAGGATGTGAGCTCCTTCAAACTGGGATTTTCAATTCTTTATTTATAATATACAGTACTTAGCACACAGTAGTTTCCTATAAATAATTTAAAACATCATTTGGTATTTTATTTGTATTTCATATTCCAGCTTGAGTTAAGAGCTACTTTGAAAAAATACGACTAGCATCATAAATCACACTTTGGTGATCAAGGTAACAGTCAAAAAACTGTAAGAACTGATTTTTATACTGCTTCAAATTTGAGTGGGCAGCCAACTTGATGTAAACTTGTATTTAACCAAAGTTCCATTTTAGCAACAATACATGCATTATCAGATAAAGAACATAGTAGACTGGATACTACTGTGATTAATTCCATCAATTTTTCCAGGTAAGGCTTTAAAAGATTAAGTTAGGGGGAAAAAAAATTTCATGGTCATATCAAATTATGGAAAGAAGCCCAGCCTCAAAGGAAAATGTCATAGAAAATGATGAACTGAAAATAGGGGTTGGTAATAGTAGCTTTCACATAGCCTTAATTATAGCGTTCACTGTTACCAACACTGTAATTCATTAACCTCGCCTCTCACAGGCCTGGTGGAGGCTCAACCACTATGTGAATTAAATAGATAACTGAATTAAAAAGATTCCCCACCAGATTTATTTTAACAACTCATTAAATTGGGTTGCATAGTAAGTTTTCGATTAGCCCAATTGTTCAGGACTTTTAAGAGCTGATAAAGTTATTAAAATATACACATTTGCCCAATGAGCAGTAAAGGACTATTCATAATACAATTTAAGCACATCCTAGAAATACTCCTTTCCTATGGCATTTGAAATGCTTTTTAATGTGTTAAGAAACAAAGTAGGGTGAAAGGGTGAACCCAAATCTTGCAGATCTGCCCCTGAAACAACTCACCTCTCCTGGGGCCTGCGACCAGCTGCCTTTCTGTTTTTCCGGCCCAGTCCCTGCTGCAAGGCCAGTGTCTGAGATCCTCACCGTGGTTGGGGTGGAGCTGGCGGTAGTGACCACAGCTGCTGAAGCCACCATGCCCTGGCCAACTTGTTCCAGTGTCTTTCCTGCCTCTTTGTTTTCGGTTCCACCCACCTCTGGGGCCAAAGGTGTCTGACCTGTGGCTGTAGAATATGGAGTGAAAGGTACAGGTGTGTCCCCACCTACAGGCTCATCCTGCACCACCAGAGTCCTGCCGTTTTCTTTGGTGTAAGTGGCAAAGCGAATGTTGCGGTTAATCTGGGGGACAAATGTAGTCGGTGGCTGCTTGGCTCTCTGATCCAGCCCTGGCTCTCCACTGGCATTCCCTCCTTTCCAGGGCCCTCGGCTTGCCTCGCCTCCATCGCTCCCATTACTGTCTACTTCACCCCTGTCTCCTTTTAATTTCTTTGATGCAGGGTCACACCCAGAGTCCGAAGCACTTTTCCTCCTCCGGCCATCTTTCCCCTCTATGCTCTCTCTCTTCTTCTTTCCTTTGGAAGATTTTACTGCTTTTAACGTACCCCCCTACAAAACAAAATTCAAAAAAGATTTATTACAAGGGACCTTCCACCCTGTGAAAACCATAAACCATTAGCTCTTTCCCATCTCTAGAAGCAGACAATCAAAGCAGGTATAGATTGCCAAATTCCAATGCCAGCTCTAAAACATCCCCTTTGTTAAAAAGCTCCAATCTTCCTATGATTCAGTTTACAAACACACATATGCAAGATAACGGTTACTAGAGGTTAACTCACTTGGCAAACCTTCCCGTATATAAAATGCACTACTTCCTCAAATGGACTTTTTTCAGGATTTTAAACATTTGTGGAATTTCTTTTACAAAATAGACTGCTAAAGCTAGGCTGGGAACTCATTTGCCCCTTGATGAAAAAAAATCTGTTTTAATTTATATTTATCTCCTTGTTTGACAAAAATTGGCATTTCAAATACTGACATATAAAGTCTCCTATATCCAGAAGTCATTAAAAACTGGTGACAACTTAACAATAGGAAAATCAACATTTATAAGTCTGTGATCCAAGGAAAAGTCAGCCCAACAGGACAAGTTTGAATTGCTCTCTGGACACTATAAAGACACAATCTCCAGACCTTATTTCAAAGCATTAGACAGAGGAAAGCAAAAACGGCAGGCTACCAAAGACCAAACAAGCAAATCTTTTTAGCCCTTCCAGTAATTTCAGCCTATCTCATGAAATCTCATTTGTACCTTATTTGAGAGGTCAGACAACCTTAAAAGACACATGACTAAAAGGGGCAATTCCTATCTCTGAATAAAATTTCTTTCCCAGAGAAGGACAAGAGGACAGGGGCTTTGGATACAGCTAACATTCTCTCCAGTAACTTACATATGGACCATTCTTAGATTCGTATCCCAGAATGAAGCAAGTTTCCTTTTCAGCTTCATTTACATAACTTTCATATAGTTTTATTCAGATAACATGTGTTAGGATGGCAGTAAGCTAGTGACACACTGTTATTTGGCCATTAATATTTACCAACTTGATTAGTCTACTTTCAGTGCACTTGAATATTTATAGGTTCTTGGTGTAGATCTGTATCTTTGTTGTAATCATTATACAGCAGTTACAACAGAAACTTCTTCAAATTCTACATTTCTTCTTGCCAGTTCTAGTTTCTTTCTTTTCCTCTCCTTTTTGTTTTCTGCCTTCATTTCTATCTTTTCTCCATTAATTTCCTTCTGTAACTCTTAACCAAAGCTCAAGATTTATTTCTGTTTCTCCCATACTCTTGGTAATATTAATCTAAGTTTCTAAATCTTTCATTCAAGAACTGTCTTTGCTAAGAACTGCTTTCATTTGATCCTTCTAAAACCTTTCAATCCTTTCTTCAACCTCTATCATCACCTGGTTTTCAGTGTTATGAACTATAGAAGAACGATCAGTGAAATCTCTTTTTTTTCTTGTTCACTCATTCAATGAGATGAGATAATCATGGATCTCTAAGAAGGGTTACTGTAAACTTGGCAGAATTGTCAGTTGTACTCCGCTAGATAAGAAAGAAAGTCACATCAAGGCAAAGCTGAAAAGGGAAGAATAAACATCTATTGCTGTAAACCATATATCTCACCTCTAACTCATCCAGCCAACTTGCAGAGCCTAGCTCACAGCAATCTTCATGAGCAACAAGTTATACATATGTCCTACTTATGGTAAGGTATTCACATGTGAGTAGACAGCCTAGGACACAGAGACTAATACTCTCAGCTATATCTGTCCAGCTGAACGGTACCTGGCATATAATAGATGCTTAATGAATGAATGAAATGAGGAAGGAAATAAAACAGAAGCAATGCGCCATAATAGTAAAAAGTGTTTTTCAGCCATATAAATAGTCAAGAGACTTATATTATTGTGATAATATAATTTGAATTAAAGAGCTATTAAATTTAGCCCTGATTCTTCTTTTCCTACCCTAATCTTGTTTTATCAAGTCAAAAATGACTGGATAATTCTTCTGAAGAACTATACACTTAGCAAGAGCAGCCAAGAGAGAAATATTACACAGGTGCTAAGAGACTATGTGAAATATATGGACAGATGGCGGTCTTAGTCAACGTCCTACTGAAGGAAACATACAGGATTCATTGACTGGTTTTGGCACTGATTTATAATGTATCTTTTTATGGCTTATGATGATTCTGAATGAACCAAAAGTTGGCTTGGTTCACAGTAATTATGGAGTAATCCACTGTGTGCTGAGCACTGAACTTGGCACCAGTTTGATATGATTCTTCTTGGGCTATGGAATTTCAGATTTCCTTGGAGCTCACTACCACCTAATGGAAAGAAAAAGAGGATGTAGCTTCTCCTCCACTTATTACTGGGTATGTCATAAATATTACTACTGCTTATTACACTTTTAACTGTCTACTGTATCTTTCAAATATACCTGTCCCGAAAAGATGTAAGAAGAAATAGTTAGGCCATGGATTTTAAAACAGCCAGGCAGCATTGCCATGATGAAAAGGGTCAAAGACTAGGTCTCTTTCTTGAGATTATACTCCCTTAACTAGGTAAGATTGTGGAGAGCAAAAAATGTACAGTGGCCAGAGCTGAAACCCAAAGGGTATCCATGGATAACACACATATAAGGAATGTATATAAGAAGATAATGCAAGCTCATGAGTCTGCTCTGGACTCAGTCCATAACTATACCTCGTTCTGAGGCGTTGAATTATCCACCAGCATCACATGGATCAGTCTGGGATCTACGGACTTGATCTCACCACTCTACAGTAGGAGCAGGATAAGAGATAGGAGGAAATATAAAAAAAAGGGGGGGAAGATTTAATGCCTTGTTCATAAATAATTATGTATTTTTCTAATAAATGTAATTATCTCTATTTGTTTCTATTCCCCTACTAGAATGAAAGCTTCATGAGAGCAGGGGTGGCTACTATTTCATTCACTGCCAGGATAACAACAACTGAAACAAGGTATAAAATATGGTAAGCCCTCAAAATACTTGTTAAAACAAATGGATAAAATAATTGAGTTCAATTCTCAAGTGTCTCTTATAGGGATGCTGATTTCAAATTCTGCATCTCTAAAATCTTCTTACTCTGTAATTCATAAAGAAACAAAAAACTTTCAGAATAATCATTAAAAGCACCACTCTACAATAAAAAAATAAAAGCTTTTGGGAGGAGCCAACTTGATGGACATTGTCAGATTTAATGTACGTATCCTCTGACCCAGTAGTTACATACTTAGGAATTTATTCCAATAAATAATGTAGAACTGTAAAATGATATATGCTCAAAGAAACTTACTGCAGCATTATTTGTATTAGTGAAAATACTGACAATAATTTAAATGTCCATCAAGTTAAGATTAAATTAGTTATAATACATCCATTCAGTAAATAGTATCCATTTTTAAAAGGATGAGGCAGATTTCTACATATATTTACAAAGAGGTTGACAATTTAAAATTTAAAAAGGTAAATTATAGAAGTATATTATTGTATGATCTCATTTGTAAATAAACTGTGATTTATATAGTTATCACATAAACAGACAATATATAAATATTATACAAACACACAGAAGATACTTGGAAGCATATAGAATATACACCAAGCTGTTAATGGTGGTTACCACTGGGGGAGTAATATTTGCCGAGGGGAAGTTACGGGTTTCAACCTCTGTTTTACATATATGTGCCTCATTTGAAGTTTTAAAATTGAAATTAATTGCATAATTGAATAATCAAAAAATTCAAGAAAGAAATAACTAAAATCATTTATGCTTACATGTGACTGCTAAGGGCTAGTCTGAAACCAATTCAAGATATCATAAATACATAGTTGTTTGCCTCAAAATACTCTTGTTCTTCCTAGACAATTCACCAGGTAGCTCTAGATGCTATGCTTTTCTATTTATTTCATTAGAAACAATTCATTTTTTTCAGCATCTAAGTCAGAGTGGCATTAGTATTACAGAAGCAAAAGCTAACTGATTATAGATTTTTAAACACTAGCCTTTATGAATATAACTATATAATAATTCCACTTCACATTTGTAAACTGTTTTATAGATTTCAAAGCACTTTCAAATACATTATCTCAGTTTCCAAAACAGATGCTGTCAGGTCAGGGAGTGGCTACCTCTAATTTACAGATGAGGGAGGTGGTGGGTATAGCTCAGTGGTAGAGCACATGCTTAGCATGCACAAAGTGCTGCTTTGAATTCTCAGTTCCTCCATTAACAAAATAGTATTAATAAAAATTTTTAAAAATAAATAAAAAATAATAATTTACAGATGAGAACTCTAAGGTTAAGGTCATATAATCATTAAATGATAAAGCCAGAGATGAAACCCAAGTCTTCATACATGCAATGAAGTGCTCCCTTTCTCTGCATCACCCTCTTTAAGGGGATGGGTGGACCTCAGACAAAATAACACAAAGCCTCACCTCAGTTACAGACACCTCCATAAGACGGGTGATGGAGTCTTGATGGCTTACAACACCACAGAGCCAACTTTCTTCTCCCTCTGGCTGATAGACTTTGACCCTGTGACCTTGAACACTGTAGGGACCTAGGAGAAATCAGGCAGGATTGAGTATTTTTGGCTAAACTGTATTTCACTATTGTTTCTAAAAACAGAAGGAAAACTATATAGTGTAAATGTGTGGCATGTTCAATCCTCTCATATGGAGCTGAATAAATAAGTAATTTCAGAGTTACCACATACAGCAACTTAAAAACAAAACATAAATAGTTTTTCCCAGTGACTTTTGTAAATTGTTTATTTGGAGATTTCTTAGACTCTCCCAGGCCTCTAATTCTACCTTATCTCAATCTTCTAATTCTAGAAGTAATACAGAAAGGAAATTTATAAATCAAAAACTATAGGTAGTATGAAAATGTACTTGTGTATCTGACACATGCATAAAAAAAGTGAGAGGCCAGTAAGTTGAACACACTATTTTGTTAGTTACCACAGGAATGACACATAACCATTTACACTCTGCTATCTGACTTTCCATACAGGAGGTGGAGAGTTCAATTTATGAGGTTTCCAGCCTCTGCACTAATAATAGTCTGAACAAATACAGCACTTGTCTTCCTAGGAACACAGGGTTTCAAAGATATTACTTTATCAGCAGGTAATGTTACACTGCAATTTCAGCTGGTCCTCCAAGAAGGACAGTTTCTCTCTCTCTTGCATATTTTATACACTTGAGACTATACAGCTAAACCATTGCTTACATTATCTTTCAGAGCTACAATTAAGCTTCCTGAATTTTTCCATATATATTCATATACATCTCCACGTCTCATTCTGTCCACTCAATTTTCTTCTTTCTGCTATCAGTTTTTCCTCACATTCTTTCCTCCTCCATACCTTTCCTTGATTATTAAACATTACTTTATCCTGATACTCTCCTTCCCTAAATAGGCCAGTTTTCCTACCTTTACTATTTAGATTTAGTTTGACAAAAGAGAACCAAGGACCCTATTTCACTGAAAATCATGATTATCATGGGGGTCAGAAAGGAAGAAGAGTGGAGTATGACATGAAAGGAAGGATAAATGAAGCAAAAGTCTGCCCTTTGGGTAGAATCTTAAGCAAAATCTGTATCTGAACTGGAAAAAGATAACAAAAGCTAATAATTTTTTTAATTCTTAAAAATTAATATGCTGTTAATGTGAATGAGTCTGTGGACAACTTCCTTTATGAATATACTTTATACTCTAACTTGTGATCTGTTAGTGTTGACAGTCTTGAGTCCTTAGGAACCTTACAGATAGTACATTTTAACAAGGGTAGAGACTTTCTAGCTCATGGTTATATCCCCAGTACCTTAAAACTGTGTCTAGTACAAGTTAGTCCTTAATAAATATTTAAGACATGAAAAAAAATATATATTTGCATATTATGAAATGTAATATAAAAAGGAAACAGTGGTCTGAGTGAGATCCTTTTTTTCCAATCTATTTTTTTTAGAGATCCAACTAATTGGAGATACTCTTGACACTACCCACAAAAAGAAGACAAGCATACATGTTTAGAGTTGCATGGCGTCCCTACCATTCTATCACTTTCAACACTGCCCATACACTTGATTCAGAATTCAGGGACAGAAGACCACCTGTTCTTACCTCGGCTGAATATCTCTTGTAGCTTTTGGTCACTGATCAAAGCATTAACTGTTTCTCTCAGTGCAGCGTGTTCCAAAAGAATCTGATTTTGGCTATCTGTGCCCATCTGGTAAAGATAAAAGAGTAAATGAATATTAAAATGAATACCAATAATACGTAACCAGATGAGAAAAATCACACCCCTGAGGAGCTCTCTATCAGCATTTGCCAAAGAATGTTCCTAGAACCCTAGTCTCATGAGGTGTTCTGCAAAAGTTAAGGATGCTAGGATCAATTAGGTTTAGGAAATAGTATATCCCCCTCAAACAACACAGGGGTATTAGAGGTACCAACTGCTCCTCCCGCCTTATGCACTCAAAAATCTGCTTATAACTTTTAACTCCCTCAAAACTTAACTCCTAATAGCCTACTGTTGACCAGAAGCCTTACTGATAACATAAATAGCTGATTAACACTTATTTTGTATGTCACATGTATTATATCTGTATTCTTACAATAAAGTAAGCTAGAGAAAAGAAAATATTAACAAAATCACAAGGAAGAGAAAATACACTTACAGTACTGTACTGTATTGGTACCCTCAGTTTATGATGTCTGTTTACAAAATGAATCATCTGTCAATACACTGCATCAAGGCTGCCTTATATAATACAAAACACTTTTAATGTTTTTGTAACTAATATACATATATACTAATATGTTATATACTAATGTACCAATATATTATACTAACACGAGACATCAAAAATGAAAAGATGTGAAAAAGAAACTCATATTAACTTATAGGAAGCACATTTATTGAAAAAAAATTCATGTAAGTGGACCTGCGTAGTTCAAACCCCTGTTGTTCAAGGATCAACACTGACCCTGTACACTGTATCTTTCTATATGCAGTAGTATATTAAAGGTTCTGAGAAGATATGCAGGAAAAAAACTGTTTAGGTCAGTGTTTCTCATACTTATCTGACAACAAAACATTTTATTCCATGTAAAGCTTTTGCTTATTTTGATACTTATCCAACATTCACTGAATGCCTACTCATATGAGCACTAGGATTACAAAAATGAATAAAGCAAGGATGATGAGAAGGAGTGAGGCCTAATGAGGAGGATTTATCAACAACAAAAAAATCATCATTAATATTTCACAGAACACAGTTTAGGAAGTACTGTCCTTGGCTGCCTCAGTAAGATAACAAAACTCTTGGAAGTTATAAGGAGAGTCTTAGAAGTCTCCTAATCTTTAATCTTTAGACAGTAACTCTCACAAGTGAGAAACAAATATTACCATCTATAAATTCTGAAACTAACTCAAATGGTAGTTTGTTTAAACTATTAACATCCCTTTTTTTGGTAATGAAAAATATAACTAAGCTCTTCAATATTTAATGTTGTTCAGAACCAGCCAATTCTCAGCCTCCCTGCCACTGGCCTAGGTGTAGGCTCTCTCAGATTCAAGTTATAGAAGCAGCCACCTCTGGTAAACAACCCTTTCTGAAGAAATCCTTACAGCTGTGGTCTTAAGTGGTTTTGGGGGTGGGGGGAGGGTGTGTAGAGGAGGAAAGAAGCCTCAGCTACCAAATGTACTTCTCAAAGGAGCAGAGAAACTTGAAAAGGCACAGGCAATTATCTGGAGGAGGTACTTGCTTCAGTACGATAAGAAAAGGGGAAATAGTCATAATCAACAGAGAAATTAGCAAGGAGAGAAACAAATATAGGACTAGAGTAAGTGTTAAGTACCTGGAACAGATGCAACCCATTAGCATCTGACAGGAAACGAAGCTCTCGATCCAGAAGGTACTCAACTGGAACCACAGAACCCAAACCGAGTTTATCTACTAGGGGAGTAAAAGTCTGTGAAGTACAATGACAAGAAATTGATTAGAACTTGGAAAAGAAAATAAATAACAATTCAACTGAATATGTAACTTCAGAGAAAACAGCCATTATTAGTATCCTTCCCTCAGTAAATAAAAATAAGCTAAAATTAAGTCCTTGGAAACATTCTCAACCCAGCATCTGCCCCTCAAATAATCATAGGAAGCAAACTAGAGCAGAAAGTCAGCCCAATACTCTTATTTACAGATAAAATGGACAAGAAGAACAAGAAATTCCTCACTCTCTCTAGGAATCTGACTAATCTTGCCAGGCTTCAAGACGGCTAAATTACAGTAAATTCCCAGAATAAAGAGTTACAGCATTATCATCTCTAGAACTCCTGATACCTTTGTGAGATGTCTAAAATACTCAGTGGTATAAATATGTGTGGGTGAATTCACATGACTGTTTCATAAATAAATTGCCTACAAAGTCACCCAGGGGACTAGATCCATTTAAGTTCAACTGGAAGGTGGCCTTAAATACAAATGAGAAAAGACAGTTCAGTAAGTGATGACATGTATAATAGGTTAAAAAAATTGTTTTCAATATTGCTTAATTCGAGTAACCATGGGGAGAATTAGATTTTTTAGAAAAAAATCTAACTCTTTATGCCTATATTTTGATAAAAAGACAGATAGAAAAAATGGACACTCTCAGAATTAAATTTTATTGCATTATTTAGTCTGACTTCAAAACTTACTAATTCAAAAACCCTTTAAACATCAGCAACAAAAGCGAAAATAAACAAGTGGGACTACATAAAACTTAAAAGCTTCTGCACAGCAAAAGAAATGATCAACAAATGAAAAGACAATGTAAAGAATGGGAGAAAATATTTACAAATCACTTATCTGATAATGGGTTAACACTTTAAAAAAAAAACCCTCATACAACTCAAGTGCAAAAAAACAAAAACAGAAAAACAACCCCCCCTCCAAATAATCTGATTTAAAAATGGACAAATTGCAGGGAGGATATAGCTCAAGTGGTAGGGCACATCCATAGCATGCATGAAGTTCTGGGTTCAATCCCCAGTCCCTCCTCTAAGAATAAATAAATAAATAAACCTAATCTGCCCCTGACCAATCAATCAATCAATCAATCAATCAATAATGTTTAAAAATGGACAAATCACCTGATTAGACATTTTTCCCAAAGACATATGAATGGCCAAGAGGTACATGAAAAGGGGCTCAACTGCACTAATTATCAGGGAAATGCAAATCAAAACCACAATGAGTAATTATCACACACTTGTTAGAATTATTATCAGCAAAGACAAAGATAGTAAGTACTGGCAAGGATGCAGAGAACGGCGGAACCCCTGTGCACCATCAGCAAGAATGTAACTTGACAGTCATCAGTAAATAGTATATATATATATATATGACT